GGGGGAGGGGTATATTGATACACATATTACAACAACAACTGACGTGGAAGCTGAGTAGGATTATTTGAACATTTAGTTTTGGCGGGAAAAGTATTATTCTACTTTCTCTATTTTCAGCATGTTTTGCATTTCAATTTCAAACTCTAATTGTATAAGTAATAGTTTGTAATAGTGGGAAGTCACTTTTGAAGCTAATACAGATCATTTCCCTCTTCTTTTGAATTCTCTCCTCTCTTACCTCCATTTCTCTCCTCTTCTCTCGTATCACTGTTTCATTGCTGTGTTCGATACCTTATTGGTATCAGAGAATTGAAACCACTCAACAATATAACTACTCCCTCCATCCCAGTTTATATGAACTCACTAATTTTTGGTGTGAATTCAGATACAAATTTTTTAGTTTTTTGATTTCTTTTTACATATTTAGAAACTATATAAAAAGTATTATAATCTACAATAGTTAACAATTGAGAATATTAATAGTATTTGCAAAAATTATGACCAAAGAAGACCTTTTTTGACTCTTTATTTCCACTAGATATACACAAATGTATGTGATTTGGGTGTATTTACACGTACTCCCAGCGAAAGCGCTCAACGCCATGGAAACGTGCACAGCAAATAAAATAAAAAAGGCATTACCATTGCGCAATTAATTATGTAGAACTGACTTCTGACTTCTGACTTTCATCATTCATCCTACTGTTATGACCATATTAACATCAACTTTGAAATAATATTCAAATATTCATTCAAGCAAAGCAACTTCATTTGATGAATTGCATCCTTTCTCTTCTTAAAGGTCAACAGAACAGTGTCGTCGCAGTCAGTTTTTAGATATGATATTGGCTAGACTCTGGATTGTTATTTTTGTAACTAGCACAACCATTGTCAAAGCCCAAAACATTACCCAGTGTGCTTCTTCTTGTGGTGATATTCATGACATTAGCTTTCCTTTTCGATTGAAAGCAGATCCGCTGAATTGTGGAGATTCCAGGTTTGAGCTTGATTGCCTGAAAAATCGTACTGTCATAAGTTTGAATTCGAAAAGATATTACGTGCTAGAAATCGACTATCGCGAATTCTTGATCAGAGCAATTGACCCTGGTTTGGAACATTACAAGAGGAACTGTACTTCTTTTCCTGATTACTTTAACACATCTGTTCCTAGCACCTCAACTTTTGCTAGAGATTTGACTGTTGAACTTCTTTATCGGAAGTCAACTTCTGGTACTATCATAGATGTTAAACATCATGATCGGAACATTCCCATTATCTATGTCAACTGTTTAGCTCTTGTAAATTCCTCGCGCTATGTGGAGACTACTTTCTGTGGTTCGCAGAACAAGACTTATTTCTCTAATTCTTCCCAAAGTCATAGCTATATCGCCATTGGACAGGACATGTCGGTCTCTGATTTGGCTGAGAATTGCAGCGTGGAAATGGTGGCCTGGGCCTCGGCTCGTGGGCTTTCGGGGGACAATACTTCTCTATCGAACATTCAAGCAGCCTTGGCTTATGGGTTTGAGCTTTCTTGGAAGCGTACCTACTTCTGCAGAGAATGTGAAGGGTACTGTTATGCTGAAGGCGACGGCTTTGTTTGCCATCGCTGCAAGCTAAACTCAGGGATTAAGCTCCGCATCCCTTGTAAGTCAACATTCATTTCTGAGTTTCACCAAGTTCAAATTGGAATCCCTTTTCAATTGTTCTGTTTTACAAAATTCCATCTCTGAGGTTAAAATTTTGGTTCTTTTCCATTCAATTTTCCACTCATTTTGATGAGTACTGCCTCCTAATAATATTCAGCAATTTATTTCAAGATTTGACCTCTTTATTTTGCTGAAATTCTTGTAATTGGACAATGCAGGTAGCGTCCACCACTTCTTTGGTAAGTATTTCTGATACTGGAGCGATAATTTTATATACTGCTCCCTCTGTTCCAGTTTACCTGACCCTATTTCCTTTTTGATCTGTTCCAAAAAGAATGACTCATTTCTAAACTTGGTAATAATTTAGCTTAAACTTACAATTCTACCCTTAATTAGAAGCTTTTATAACCAGACATATACTCTGACCCCTTTTTGACTTGTTTAGGACCACAAATTCCAAAAGTCTTTATTTTTTTTCCTTAAACTTCGTGCCCAAGTCAAACAAGTTCACGTAATTTGGAACGGAGGGAGTATGCATTTTGCTGAAAGGAAATTGTTAAAGCAATGTGTTTGCCAATAATGATCCCCTTCACTGCACCACATAGGTGTAAGCTATTTCTTGAAGTATTTGATATTTTCTTTCCTCAAATATATAATTTTCACTTTGTGATTTGCCTGTTTTGACAGATCTAATTTATACAAGATTCTACGGTGGAATAGTATTGAGTAAGTGGTCTATCTTACTCTACCAGTATTAGGGTTCTTGGTACACTGAAAACAATAGCTCTAAAGCTTTTAGTCAAACCCCTTTGCCCTAGGAGCAAAAATAATGGTTTTTCTTACTAATGTCATCCTCATGCAGTTTTAATTCCACCATTCCGATTTCTCTGTGGATTCATTTTCCTGATTGCATTAGTAGTGTATAAATTGAGAAGACGGCACTTATCTGAGTATCAAGCAATTGAAGAATTCCTGCAAATCCAAAGCAACCTTGTGCCAATTAAGTACTCATATTCTGAGCTTAAGAAGATGACTAATAATTTCAAGGAAAAACTAGGCGAAGGAGCCTATGGAACTGTCTTTAAAGGAAAGCTCCGTAGTGGTCCTTTTGTTGCATTAAAGATGATGCACAAATCTATGACTAGTGGGCAAGAATTTATCAGTGAAGTTTCCACAATTGGGAGGATTCACCATGTTAATGTTGTGCAGCTCGTTGGATTCTGCGTTGAGGGCTCAAAACGTGCTTTGGTCTATGAGTTAATGCCCAACGGTTCCTTAGACAAGTACATATTTCTGCAAGAAGGAATTGTTTCCTTGAGTTGCAAACAAATGTTCGAGATATCTGTAGGAGTTGCGCGTGGGATAGACTACCTACATCGGGGCTGTGACATGCAGATCTTACATTTTGATATAAAGCCTCACAACATTCTTCTGGACGAAAATTTTAATCCAAAATTATCTGACTTTGGGCTTGCAAAATTGTACCCAACAGATGATAGTATTGTGAGTTTAACTGCAGCAAGAGGGACAATGGGTTTCATGGCTCCTGAGTTGTTTTACAAAAATATTGGAGGAGTGTCATACAAAGCCGATGTTTATAGTTATGGCATGTTGTTGATGGAAATGGCAGGCAGAAGGAAGAACATGAACCCATTCGCGGATCATTTAAGCCAAATTTACTTTCCTACATGGGTTTACGACCAGTTTAATGAAGGAAATGATATAGAGATGCAGAACGAGGACGATGAAGATAGGAGGATGGTAAAGAAAATGATGATCGCGGCTTTGTGGTGCATACAAATGAAGCCAGCTGAACGTCCTGCGATGAGCAAAGTGGTCGAAATGCTTGAAGGAGAAGTTCAACTCCTGCAGATGCCTCCAAGACCTTTTACAGCTCCGTGTAACATAGCTGGGGAAGTTATTTAGACTATAGGAATTTCCAGCATTGTATATAGGTTGCTAACTCATCATGCTGTGTAAAACAATGGTCATATTCTTGCCTCTTTCACTTGAGCTGCAGCTGATTAGTCTTGTGATAAAGTTCTCATCTCATGTACATTTTGTATTTTTCCAGTTCTACAATCTTTCTGATTCAATTGAAAAAGCCAGTGCATATTTGTTGTCTGAATAGTATAAACAAGGGATAATATAAACAACCACCCCGAACTTTGGCTGAATTTTCGACTACACCCCTAAATTTTGTGGACGACCTATGACCCCTATACTTGTTTAAAATGAAATTATTTCCACCCTGACCCTATAGGTATAATACACGCATGTCACCCCAGGTTACTACCAGGGCCGGCTCTAATGTATTACTAAGTAGTAAGGGTAGAAATTGCACGGGGTGTCCTATTTGGTCGCCCCCATTTAACCTATACCCATTTTTTTAAAAACTTTTAACTTGTACCCACTTTCTAAAAAACTTCAGCTCCCTTTCTCCGCTGCGTTGCTTACCTCTTCCTTTGTCCTTTCTGCTGCTTTCTCCACTGCATTGCTTACTTTCTCCTTCACAGAATGCATCTTCTTCTTTCTTCTTTGCCTTGCGTAGAATACTACAGTTGTTGATAATGTAGTAAATTGAAGGTTCTGTAGTTTGTGGGGAAATAATTAGTAGTAATTAAATAGAACTATAGCTGAAGTTATGTGAAAAGAGTGTTATTTGGGGTAGTAAACATACAATGAACTAAATAACTTCAGCTCTATAGCTGAAGTTTTCCGGTTACAAAGACAACAACTTCAGCTCTAGAGCTGAAGTTTTCCGATTACAAAAGAAAAACTTTAGCTCTAGAGCTGAAGTTTTTATTTTATAACTGGAAAACTTCAGCCGGTTACTAAATAAAAACTTCAGCTCTAGAGCTGAAGTTTTTAATTTATAACTGGATTTTCCGATTACTAAACAAAAACTTATAAAATAAAACTTCAGCTCTAGAGCTGAAGTTTTTATTTTATAACTGGAAAACTTCAGCCGGTTACTAAATAAAAACTTCAGCTCTAGAGCTGAAGTTTTTATTTTATAACTGGATTTCCTGATTACGAAACAAAAACTTATAAAATAAAACTTCAGCTCTAGAGCTGAAGTTTTTATTTTATAACTGGAAAACTTCAGCTCTAGAGCTGAAGTTTCCCGATTACTAAACAAAAACTTATAAAATAAAACTTCAGCTCTAGAGCTGAAGTTTTTATTTTATAACTGGCAAACTTCAGCTCTAGAGCTGAAGTTTCCGGTTACTAAACAAAAACTTATAAAATTCGCGAGTTACAAAACAGAAACTTCAGCTCTAGAGCTGAACTTCAGGCCCGGCTACTAAAATGCTGAAGTTTTGTGTGATTGCCTTTGCTACTTCAGCCCCGCATGCTGAAGTTATGTGAAAAAGCGGGTACACTTGCAATTTTTTTTTTACAAAGCGGGCACAGGTTAAAATGTGGCACAAAAAGCGGGTATAGATGCAAATGCACCGTAGTAAGGTGTGTGCTTTAGGCCCAAAATTTGGGTGCCCCATTTTTAAAAATAATATGTTTATAGGTATTTAAAAAATAATATTTAGTACTTTTAATACAAAAGTAGAGTTTTTAATATAAAAGGAAAGAAAGCTCTTTAGATAATTAAATAAAGTAATAATTTGACTTACTTAAAAATGGTTAGATGAACCGTTTTCCCAACGTTTCAATTTCTCATTTTTTTCCGGTAAAATTTTATTTTATTTAACCAAAAAATTCAATAAAATACAGGAACTATTGACCAGTTCCTTTACTCTGCTTGATAACTAATTACTCTACTATAACCTATACAAGGTTTTGATTTCAACTATAACCTATACACATCCTAATGCCTATACAATCTGCACCATAGACAAATAGATTACATTTGACAGAACATATAAGCTAAACTTGTCTAAGGAATCCAGTTCAATGCCTCCAAATGCTTCTGCCAGCTGAGATATGAGTTGCCTCTGATGTGTATATGGTTTGCAATTTATCTACACATTCTATCTGGGGACGAGCTGCCACTCTGAAATCTGATCTTGTTCATCCCAAAGACAGCAGAGACAATTGTCCCAAATCCTTTCTTTTTCCTAGCACAGGTTGTCACCCATTTCACCTCTTCCTACCATGTATTTATCTGCCTTGGACAACCAAGCCAAATTCAATAGCCTTTGCCAGATGTTTTTCATGTAGTCACAACCAAAGAATAAGTGTTCATCATCTAGGCCACATAATACATAAGCTTGAGGAACTTGAATACCAATTTTGTGTAGCCTCTCAACAGTAGGTAGTCTACCCTGTATAGCTAGCCATAAGTTGAATTTGTGTCTGGGATGTATATGTGGTTGTAAAATTAGGCTCTTCCAGTGCACCTTTTGGATTTGAGGGATTTGCATCTGATATAACTTCTTGATGCTGAATCTTCCATCAGTACTTTGTAATTTCATCATTCTTGAAGTCAGGTCACCTTGCATGGTAGGTAGATCAAGGATAAGCTTCGTGAGTTCAAGAATTTTCCTCACTACCCAGGCTGCATTCTTGGGTATAGACATAGTATCGATAGTCTGGTTCTTGATGTAGTAAGCATGGATCCACCTGATCCAAAGGCAATCTTTCTTCTTGGTGATAGCCCATAAGTGTTTTGCCATTGCTGCTTTATTCCAGTTGTACATGTTTATAACATTCAGTCCTCCAGCTGCTTTTGGCAAGCATATCTTCTCCCAAGACACCAATGCTTTCCTGGAGATATCTATTTTTCCTGTCCATCGGAATGTCTGCATGTGGCTTCAATAATTTTCAACACCTTCTTTGGCAATAGAAATATTTGTGCCCAGTATGATTGTACACCAAAGATCACTGATTTTATGAGCTGCAATCTTCCTGAGTATGATAGTAGCTTTGATGTCCAACAGTTTATCCTTGCAGTGATCTTTTCTACCAGTGGCTAGCATTGGTTGATTGACAGCTTCCTTAATGCTAGTGGCACGCCCACATATTTGAATGGCAATGTGCCCTCATTATATCCCAACTCCTGGAAGATGTCCTCCTTCAGATTTGCAGAAATGCCAGCAAGGTAAATAGAGCTCTTCTCTGCATTTGCCTGTAATCCTGAGGCCTTTGAGAACTTCATAAAAAGCCTGCTGAAGCAACCTAATGGAAGGGAGGTTTTCCCTACAAAACATCAACAGATCATCAGCCAAACACACATGGATCACTCCCAACTTTTTGCATCTAGGGTGGAAGTGAAGCTCATTGTTCAAAGCCAACTGATCAAATTTCCTCTATAGATATTCCATGGCAAGCACAAACAGGTAAGGTGACATAGGGTCACCTTGCCTTATTCCTCTTTGGCCTTTGAAGGGTTTAGTGAGGCCCACATTCAGTGTTAAGGAATAAGTGACAGTTGTTATACATTCCATTATCCACTCAATAAACTTATGTGGGAATCCCAGTTCAATCAGAAGTCTTTTTAGAAAATACCAATCCAATGTGTCATAAGCCTTCCTAAGGTCAACGTTAAGTACACACCTTGCTGAAATCCCCTTCGTGTTATAGCCTTTGAATAGTTCATGAGTGAACAATATTGTCACGCCCCAACCTCGGGAGGTGCGATCGGTGCTCAATCGAGTGAACCCAACTGAGCAAGCCTTTTGGCACCTTCTACCCAATTCTCTATGATCAAGGAAACCATGCTTTCGTTTATTTAGACAGTAGGAAAGATCGTACATGCAACATTGTTAGTTCATTTTTTATTACAACCCTTAAACCATCGTTAAGTTTCCAAGATTTCATACAGATATAGTTTAGTAGAACTAGAGTTTAGAATTACAACACAGTTCATTAACCCATCCAACACCAGTACATAACCCACACAAACGTCTACGGAGCCTCTAAAGATACAAAAAATAGTTATGATAATATCGGCTACAAGGCCCCGGCTATACCTCAAAAGTGGTAATTTATTACAAAAGACATACTGCATAACCCCTAAAAGAAAAGGGGCTCACTAAGATTGCTGAGTGGAGGATGCTCCGCTACCTACAATCGGCACTGTCTGCTATGGAGCCACCTATATCCATTCAAAGATGTGGCGCCCCCGAAAAAAAGGACGTTAGTACCATGGAATAGTACTATTGTGTATAACTAAACACCATCTCATTAGAAAGAACTATCATACAATAACAAAGAAATCATAAGGATCAATCAAAAGCTTTAAACGATCACTACATCATCAAATAAAAGGATCACATAACTTTCACATATTTTCCTAGCTTTAGGTTGGGACATTTAATACTGTTCATCATCATTCACAATACCACCGCTTTCTTGCGCGGAGTCCGATCACGACCCGATCGGCTAGGTTGACTCATTTGAGACATGTATCTCAATCAAAATCTCATTCTCACTTTCCGGATTCAATATAAGCACAATACCACCATGTGTGCGGCATGGTGTCTGATCGGCTAGGTCGTCTTACCAAGACGTTGTTCCTTTTTCATTAATCATCTCATTTCAATCTTTATTTCACATATATCAATTCATAGGCACTTGGGGCCACAATTATCACATCATACTTGGCACTAGGCCACATTTCATAACTCAAGCTCTTTTTCCCCACATTTCACATCATTTCCACTTTCAACGTTAACCTTGCAATTTAGGATAATAGGCACATACAAGAGCAATTCAAGTTGTAAGCATAGAGAAGATTTCACATAGTTTGGCATAACAACCTCAGTTTAAACTTGACTTGAAGTCTAGGATTTTCAACACATGGTTCACATTCTTCACACATCCTTAAATTACCAAGAATAGTATATTGAACACATTGAGACACACCTTTCACGTATATATTTGCAACACTAATTCATGTGAAATAACAATCAATACATCAATCAAATTTCGGTCTTACAACATTTGCATGGACACCAAAGGAGCTCAATTTCTAAGAAGAGGAGGTTTTAGCCATACATACCTCAATAGAGCTTTTCTTAAATTCTTACAAAATTCCGGAACTCTTAGCAACTTCGATCTATTTTAGGAGAATTACAAGTTGAACCAAAAATTAGAGAGATGATTAAGATTCTAGCTCATTTGAGTATATTATCAAGCACTAAGTGGG